TCCCTATTTTTTCATTGATGATCTTAATAATTTTAGGATTCACATTTAGATCTTTAATCCATGTTGAGTTCATTTTTGTATAGGGTGTGAGGCAAAGATCTTGTCTCAGTCTTTTACATATCGCTTTCCAGTTCTGCCAGCACCATTTGTTAAAGAGACTGTCTCTTCCTCATGCAATGTGCCTAGCCACTTTGTCAAAAATCATTTGGCTGTAAGTGTTTGAGTTAATATCTGGATTCTCGATTCTATTCCATTGATCAATATCTTTAGTACCAGGCTGTTTTCACCACCGTAGCCATATAGTAAAGTTTGAAATCGGGGAGTGAGAGACGTCCAACCTTGTTCTTCCTTTTAAGCCATGCTTTGCTTATCCTGGGTCTCTTTCCTTTCCATATAAAATTACTAATTGTCTTTTCAATCTCTTTGAAGAATGTTATTGGAATCTGGATTGGGATTGCATTGTATGTGTAAATTGCTCTGGGTAGTATTGACATTTTCACGATGTTGAGTCTTCCTATCCAGGAACATGGTATGTTCTTCCACTTCTGTAGGTCTCTTTTGATTTCTTGTAGTAGTGCTTTGTAAATTTTTTTATATAAGTCCTTTGTTTCTCTGGTTATGTTTATTCCTAAGTATTCATCGTTTTGTGGCTATTGTAAATGGTATTGCTTTTTTAATGTCCTTTTCATCGCTATTGCTGTTGCTATAGAGAAATCCAATTGATTTTTGTATGTTAATCTTATAGCCTATAGGAGCTCTGGTAGCGTAGTGGTTACGAATCAGGCTGTGAACCGCAAGGTCAGCAGTTTGAAACTACCAGCTGCTCCGCGGGAGAAAGATGAGGCTTTCTGATCCCGTAAAGATTTACAGCCTCGGAAACCCTGTTCAGGGTCGCTATGAGTTGGAACCGACTCCACAGCACTTAACAACAACAACAATCTTATAGCCTGCCAGTTTGCTGAATCTTTTGATGAGGTCTAATAGTTTTTTTACTGAGTCTTTGGGGTTTTCTATATATAGGATCATATCGTCTGCAGATAGGGAGAGTTTTACTTCCTCTTTGCCAACTCGGACGCCTTTAATTTCTTTATCATGCCATATAGCTCTAGCTAAAACTTCCAGCACAATATTGAATAGGAGCGGTGATAACGTGCATCCTTTTTTGGTTCCTGTTCACAGGGGGAAGGCTTTCAGTTTCTCCTAATTGAGTGTGATGTAGGCTCTTGGTTTTGAATATATGCTTTTGATTATGTTGAGGAATTTCCCTTCAATTCCTACTTTGTTGAGTGTTTTTTTTATCAGGAATGGATGTTGTATTTTGTCGAATGCCTTTTCTGCATCAATCAATATGATGATGTGGTTCTTTTCTTTTTCTTATTTATATGATGGATGATGTTGATCATTTCTCTAATGTTGAACCATCCTTGCATCCCTTTTATGAAACCGTCTTGGTCGTGATGTATTATTTTTTTTGATGTGCTGTTGGATTCTGTTTGTTAGGATTTTG